CGAAGGGAGGAAGGAAAGAAAGGCGCTGGGTGGGAGCCTCCGGAGAGGCTCCGGGAGGCGGGAGGCTGAGCTGTCCCCTCCCTCCTCGCTCCCTCCCTCCGGACCCACCCCGGGAGCAGCAGCTGTCGGGATCCAGCTGCAATTTTTCAAACCAATTAAGGAGAAGTGCCTCGGTCGCAGAAGGGAGCGCTGTGGGCCTCTCCTGAGTCAGCAGGCACAGACCAGGACCTTTGGGGACGCGATCTGAGGGCTCCAATTGATCTCCTTTAAGGAAGAAATCACAAGTAGCAGCAGCTACTCTTTCAACTTTAAACTGCTGAAGGGGCTGCCTGTTTTTTAACAGAGGTTCTCCACCGAGCGCGCGGCTTCCCGGCTGCCTTAACTATCTGCAGGCCGGCAGGTTTCCCTCTTCATTCTCGGTGTCTCCTGCACAGGTCTCCTGTCCTGCATTCAGCAACGCGCCGCCTCGAAGTTGCATTCGGTGTGACCTCGCCATCCAAAACAAAGAGGCCCGAGAGTCTGCGGCTGAGAAAACTCACAAAGACTTTGTGCGCGGTCTGAAACGGCCAGTCCTCAGTTACAACTGAGTGGAAACAAAGCCGGGGAATAAAGCAGAGACCTAGGGCCAAACCACCCTCTTCGGTTATTCTGCCACCCTTGTAGGCCAAACCGCTCGATGTCCCCCAGCTTGTTTGGCGTTGTGTGGATGTTTCTTCAGAAAAAAAGCCCGATGTACCTGATTTACCTCCGAGACTGAGATCAGAATAGGAGACCCGGGCTTCTGACCCCGCCCTTGGGGAAGAAGGTGAAGTCAGGATTGCTGTCCTTAGATCCCACACCCACCTCTTCTATCTTCCAAAACATGAAAGCCGGAGTGCTTCTGCTCTGCTATAAAAATTGGGTGGCAGCAAAATCCTCACTGACTGTTGTTTATGAAAACACAAGCCTCAGTGCAATGTTATCATATAAACATGGAACCCCAATAGCGCCCATCCTTGCCACCTTCCAAAAAACAATAGCCTGACTTAAAGAAAGACTGAAAGCAGTCCAAACCTTTATGTAGTCCTTTGAGGGAATGCTAAGAAGGAACATTTGTTCTTAAGACACAGCAAAACATCTATTAAAAATTGTGCCTCTTGATCTCCCCGGTCCCCCACACTCCTGACCACCGGCATGGCAGCCTCCTGAAGACCCTGCCTCTGACACCCTCGACTGTGTAAGATCCAGCCCGCAAGGCCCCTCCCTCTCTTCTCTCCCCTTCACTCTCCATTCTCTGCCTCTCTCACTCTCTCTCTCTCTCTCTCCTCTCTCTCTCTTTATAGAGACAGGGTCTCACTCTGTCACTCAGGCTGGAGTGCAGTGGCACGATCATGGTTCACTGCATCCTCAAACTCCTGGGCTCAAGTGATCCTCCCACCTCAGCCTCCTGAGTAGCTGGGACTACAGGCATGCACCACTCATCCTGCTAATCTTTTAATTTTTGTAGAGACAGGAGTCTTGCTGTGTTGCCCAGGCTGGTCTCAAACTCCTGAGCTCAAGCAATCCTCCCACCTCGGCCTCCCAGAGTGCTGGGATTGCAGGTACGAGCCATCACACCTGGCCTCTGCCTATCTCTTTATTCTGTCATCCATTTAACCTTTCTGGATGCTATAATTTTCTTTTTTTAAAAAATTTCCTAGCACCTGGGTTCTGCACAAATTGCATCCCAGAAACCAGGAATTGATCTAGCAAGAAGGTTGGAGGTGACCAGAGGAGCAGGGAGGAGGAAAACTGTTCAAAGGTAAATATAGACAGTTTTTTGTCCCTCCCTTGTTTGATCTTTGTGGGGGTCTGCCCAAGGGGAACATGTTTATTGTACCTCCCTGTGAAGCTTTTCCTCAGCCCCATACCCACCTTCCTTTTCTCCTTCTGGCAGATCAGGAACCCCAGAACCTGGGAGCGAAGACCCTGGCTTAAGGCCTTCCTCCCTCGCTCCTCCAGAGATTTGTGAGTAGCAGGCTGAGGGTGCTCACTGCGCTGTTTCCTTCAAAGGGGCCTTTGGCCGCTAAATGGCCTGTGCTGCCAATCAGAGCCAGCATGGGACAGCTCGCCCCAAGTCTGAGAAGGCTGGAGGTGTCTCTGGATTGGCACCACCCATATTTGGGGCTTGTGAGAAATCAAGGGAAAGTGGCTAAAAGGTTGAAGCAATCCCATTTGTCACCCACCCAACCACACCGAAAGTCAATCGGGGCATGGAGTCTACACGCTGCACCCCAGCCTGGCTCTGGGAGCAGAGGGAGCTGTCAGGGCTGGGGTGTGTGGACCTCACTGACAATTTGCAGTATGTTCCCATCATTAAATGCTACGCAATAATTAAATGAACAGACTCAGATGTTAAATGTGATCCCCTTGGTGGTAACCACTCCTCCACCCCGCGAAAAAGATAACTATATATACCAACCAAAAAAAGGAAATTAAAATTCTCACCACAAAAAGTCAGCTAAACACAAAAGAAAACAGGAATGCGGGAAATGTGGAACACAGTGCTCTCAGGCATATATTAAAAGTAATAGCAAAAGGCTGGGCACAGTGCTCACGCCTGCAGTCCCAGCACTTTGGGAGGTTGAGGAGGGTGGATCAACTGAGGTCAGAGGTTCAAGACCAGGCTGGCCACCATGGGAAAACCCTATCTCTACTAAAAATACAAAAACTAGCCTGGCAGCTGGACACAGTGGCTAACGCCTGTAATCCCAAAACTTTGGGAGGCCATGGCAGGTGGATCACTAGGTCAAGAGATAGAGACCATCTTTGCCAACATGGTGAAACCCCACCTCTACTAAAAATACAAAAATTAGCTGGGCGTGGTGGTGCACACCTGTAGTCCCAGCTACTTGGGAGGCTGAGGCAGGAGAATCCCTTGAACCCAGGAGGCAGAGGTTGCAGTAAGCCAAGATTGTGCCACTGCACTCCAGCCTGGTGACAGAGCAAGACTCCATCTTAAAAAAAAAAAAAAAAAAAAAACCAGAACCAAAAATCCAAACAAACAAACAAACAAACAAAAACTAGCCGGGGTTGGTGGCAGGTGCCTGTAATCCTAGCTAGTCAGGAGGCTGAGGCAGGAGACCACTTGAACCCGGGAGGGGAGGTTGCAGTGAGCCGAGATTGCAGAGGGAGACTCCATTTCAAAAAAATAAAATAAATAAAATAAAATAAAATAAAAATAAAAGTAATGGCAAAACTGCAATTACTTTTGCACCAACATAATAGAAAACAAATAGCAAAATGACAGAAGTCCCTCCAACCAAATAGGTTGAAAGTGAAAAGATAGAAAATGGTATTCCATGCAAACAGGGAAAAAAAAAAAAAAAAAAGAAATCATGAAAAGCTATACTATATCAGACAAAATAGACTTTAAATTTTAAAAATTAAAAAAAAGAAGCATATTATCTAACAAAAGGTTCAATACAAGAAAAAGAAATAACAATTACAAACATTTACATACCTGATTATATACCATCAAAATATAGGAAATAAAAATTGACAGACTGAAGGGAGAAGCAGTTTTACAACTGCAGACTTCACTATCCCACCCAATAACAGACAGAATAATCAGGCAGAAATAAGTAAGGAAATAGAAGACATGAACAACACTGTAAACCAACCAGACCTAACAAACACACAGAAAACTCTGCCCAACAACAACAAAATGAACAGTTTTCTCAAGTGCGCATGGAACATTCTTCAGGATAGAGCATATGTTGGACCACAGATTAAGTCTCAATAGACTTAAAAAGATAGATATCAGGCCGGAGGCAGTGGTTCACACCTGTAATCCCAGCACTTTGGGAGGCCAAGGCAGGCAGATCACGAGGTCAGGAGTTCGAGACCATCCTGGCAAACATGGTGAAATCCCGTCTCTACTGAAAATACAAAAATTAGCCAGGTGTGGTGGCATGCACCTTTAATCCCAGCTACTTGGGAGGCTGACGCAGGAGAATCGCTTGAACCCGGGAGGTGGCGGCTGTGGTGAGCCGAGATAGGGCCACTGCATTCCAGCCTGGGGGACAGAGTGAGACCTTGTGTTGGGGGGATAAAAAAAAGATAGCTGTCATACATAGTATCTTCCCTGACCACAACAGGATAAAGTTAGAAATCAATAATAGAAGGAAAACTAAAAAATTGAGCAATACATTATTAAACAACCACAGGTCAAAGAAGAAATCAAGGGAAATTAGAAAGTACTAGAGACCAGTGAAAATGAAAACAGCGTACTAAAACTTATGAGACACTTTGAAAGCAATCCTAAGGGGGAAATTTATAGCTATACTATATTAAAAAGGAAGAAAGGTTTCAAATCAACAACCTAACTTTACTACTTAAGAAATGAGAAAAAGAACTACATCCAAAGTTAGTAGAAGGAGGAAATAGTAAAGATTAGAGCAGAGATAAATAATGGAGAATAGAAAAACACAAGAAAATCAACAAACCCAAAAGTCAGTTCTTCAAGACTAACAAAATTGACAAACCTTTAGTTTGACTAAGAAAAAAGGACAGAAGAAGCAAGTTACTAAAATCAAAATTAAAGTGGGGACATGACTATCAATTCTAGAGAAATAAAAAGGGTTATAAGACTGCACTATGAACAACCGTATGCCAACAAACTGGATAACCTAGATAAAATGGGCAAATTCCTAGAGACACAAAATATTGAATTGCAAAGAAATACAAAATCTGAATAGATCCATAATTAAGGGGACTGAATGGGTAATCAAAAACCTCCTGACCAAAAACAAACAGCCCTGAACCTGTTGGCTTCACTGGTGAATTCTACCAAATCTTTAATGGAGAACACCAATCTTCTTCAAACTCTTTTTAAAAATTGAAGAGAACACTTCCAAACCCAAGTGATGAGGCCAGCCAGCATCATACTGACACAAAAATCCTAACCCAATATCTGAGAATAACAGCAGAATTTTTTTAAAAAGTGGAATACATTCACTTAAGGTGTCATCAGACAGATATTAAAATTCCAAGGTATCTATTCATGTTTTCTCAGGTGACCACCCAGATATTTGTATTTTTGCCTCAGTTTGGTAAATGGCATAGTTTTGAGTTTTTATAATACAATTTTTTTTCCCCCCAGCAAAGTCCTTCCCCAACAATGATGCTCACCAAGGCCATGGCACCTGCCACACTCTTCTGCATGTAAAATGCCCTCAATACCCATGGAACTGAGTTGAACCAGGAACAAAACAAGCAGCAGAGGTAGGTTTGTACAAAGACAGTAAGTAGGTACCACAGATAAGACTGAAAGCCTACAATTCAGCAGCGAACATTTTACATTTATTTGAGAAATTATTTGCAACTAGTTCATCAAAAGATGCTGGTTTAAAGCAGTGGCTTTTCAGCCTTGACCACACAATATAACCACATAGAGAGCTTTAAACGACACCGTTGCCTGGGTCCCACTCCAGGGAATCCAATTTAATAGGTCTCTTGTAACTTGGGTTTTGGGAATTTTAAAAGCTCCCCAGGTGATTTTAACGTGCAGCCATGGATATGGACCACTGGTTCAGAGTGAGGGATGCATTAGCTGTGTGTGATTTCCATGTGTGCCCCATGGCAGTTCCTCAGTTTGGGGTCTTGGAAACAGCTTTGCCCTGTGAAAATCAAAGGACTGCTTCAATACACAGTCAGCTGTTTGTCTAAATTGCAGCAGGTGGAAATGTCTTCTCAGCAGATCTATCTTTATGTTGCCTGCTTTTCAGAGTAAGAGGTTGTTTCAGGCACCGTTTGATTTAGCTTGCTTTGAAAATCATAAATAGCCTACAAATACTAAAAATGGACGAAAAGAATTTGCAAACATATGGAGTGCACTATATGTGTTTTCAAATTTCCCCTATAATTAGAAATAAAAAATATATTGCTGGAGCCTTGATTTCTAAACTCAGCCCTCAGCTGTTTCCCTAATTTATTTTAAGTTCTTCCAAGACAGTTCAGCTTTCTCTGGAGGGAATTATACCCAATGGGTATAAGTGAAGAGCCCTAGATGGGCATTTACAGAAGTGTCACTCTCCAGAATCTTGAAGGAATAGGGGAGATGTATGAGTACTGTGGTCTATAGAGGTGTCTGGGCTTTGGAGTCAAGTATAGTTGATACTACTGAGTTACAACCTAGTCACTTAGTAACTTCAAGGTTTTGAATTTGATTTGGAACAATTAGGTAAACCTCATCTGCAAGAAAAGGCATAATGATACTGATTGAAAAAATAAGAACAATTCTTCATACTTCCCTATCTATGACCTTTGCAATGAGATTTTATAGCTGCTCCCATAAACAGACAGAATTTGTTTCCCCAAGTCTTGTATCTGGGCTGGCCTTATTTCCTCTGGCCAGCAGAATGCAGAGAGTATGACAGTGTGCCAGTTTCAGGGTTAGGCTCAAAAGATCTTGAATGCTTCTGCTTTTTCTTTCAGAATGCTTTCATCTCCATGAGAACAAGCCCATGTTAGCCTGCTGGAGGAAGAGATACCATAAGCAGGAGAACCAAGGTACCCCAGTTGACAGCCAGCTCACCCCCAGAAGCAGAGCAAAACACACACACACCACACACACCACACACATGGAGCTGAGCTGAGACCAGAAGAATGGCCTAGTTGAGCCCAGCCTAAATTGCTAACCAGCTCAATTATAAGCTAATTAAGTTTTGGGATGGTTTGTTATGCAGCAATAGCTAACTCATACACACACCCATTGCAGATGGGACTCAATGACATGTTGATTACAAGTTACTGGTAAACAGCAGGCCGCCTCTACATTCTGATTTCCTTTTCCCCCTATTAAAGTTGGATCTCTTGGGTTGTACAGAAATGCATATAGATATGTGTGTATGTGACTGGTGCTTCAGCTCACACATTTCCCCACTCCAAAGAGGAAACAGACAATCATAGCCTGGCACTCAGGCCCCAAGGCCAAACTGCAAAATAAGAAATTTGCTTTCCCAGATGCAGTGGCTCATGCCTGTAATCCCAGCACTTTTGGTGTCTGAGGTGGACGATCACTTGAGTCCAGGAGTTCAAGACCAGCCTGGGAAACACAGAGAGACCCAGTCTCTACAAAAATTACAAAAATTAGCAGGGTGTGGTGGCACACACCTGTAGTCCCAGATACTCAGGAGGCTAAGGTGGGAGGATCGCTTGAACCTGGGAAGCAGAGGTCGCAGTGAACTGAGACTGCACTCCATCCTGAGTGATAGAGTGAGACCCCATCTCCAAAACAGTAACAACAGTGACAGTTTGTTTTTAGTCTATTCCTCCCATATCTAAGGTCTGCGGGTCAAAGCCGTGAATAGATCAGAAGGCACGAGATTTCCCTCTCCTGGGACCCCATCGTCCTTTGATCACTTCCATTTTTCACAGATTCTCTTCTTCCGATGTGATTAGGGAATGAGGCCAAGATTAAATTTGAAGCTCTCAGAGACCACAGGATCTTTCTTTCCAAGGTTTACCAGCACTTTAGTTTCTAACATCACAAATACTAACTGCAACCCAGTGTGGTGACTCACACCTATAATCCCAGCACTCTGGGAGGCCAAAGTGGGTGGACTGCCTTCTCTAGTTTGAGAAGCATGTAGTAATACACTTGATTTTGCCCTGAATCAGTAACGTACTGCATGCTGGGAGCCGCAGTCTCTTAACCGCTCCAAGCCCGTGACAGAAAAACTAAATGGAAAAATGACTTAGGAGAATCATCACTATTAACCCCCAGAAACAACGCATTGTTAAAAGCGGTTCTGAAGGCTATTGAAAAGGGAAATCAATAGTAGCTTCAAAGGAGTCCTATTGTAAGGTAAAAATTGTGCTTTACCGTTCCGCACAAACTTCCCTGATGCTTTGGGAAGGGCGGAGGCAAACCTTTAGTCCTACTGGCCTGTGTTAATAATGGCCAAGAGGTCCCCAGTGGGTAACAGAGTCCTGTGAAGCAAACAGTGTGAGAAGTCAGAAAAGCAGCTGGGTGTGGACCCTCAAAGCAGCTTAGGGGCTTATTTAACTGTGCGGCTACATTTCTTGACCACATACTAAAGGAACTGGGCCTTTCCATGCGATGTTTTCCTTTCATAACGGTGGCAGGAAGCGGTCCCTCTGAAGGGCCTGACCGAGGTATGTGCCGGCGCCAGGCCGGGGTCCCAGGCGCGCTCCGAGGCGGGGCCCATAGAGGGTTTAGGGCAATTCCGAGGGATGGCGAGGACGGAGGAAAGGTGGCGTTGAAAAGGCAAGAGCCAGGTTCTCAGCGACTGGATATTTCCACTTGAGGCAGTGAATTTACATTTTCAGACATCCACCAGGGAGCTGCTTGCTGCGTGGAGTGTAAGAACGTCTCAGCCGCCCGGCGCCGCCAGCCCTACTCCACCGCCGCCGGGGGCGCACATCAGCGGGTACGCGACCGGAGGGAAGGGGCGGGGCGGGGCGGGGGAAGGGGCGGGGCCTGCCCTGCCAGCGAAGGCCGGGAGGACCAGGAACCCAGGAGCGCATGGCCACGCTGCGCAGGCTTCGGGAGGCGCCGCGGCACTTACTGGTTTGCGAGAAATCCAACTTCGGCAACCACAAGTCGCGCCACTGGCATCTTGTGCAGACGCACTACTATAACTACAGGGTGAGTCCGGTTGTCCTCGGCTTTTCGGGCCGTGCTCAATCCCCGCGTGCGAGAGAGGTTTAGGGAGAGTGCTAGGCTTCGCGGGGCGGGGCCGCCGGCGGTGCGCGGAGGGGGCGGGGGCCCTCGCCTGGCTTGCTGGGAGTTGTAGTCTCTTAACTACTGTAGGCCAGTGGTTTGCAGGGCTGCAGGACTACAACTCCCAGGATAGGCAGGGCGTGGGGGCGGCACCCAGTCTGAAGGGAGCTGTGTCAGGGGCGTTCTGGCTGCTCACTCGGGTCAACCCGCCTAACTGGGAGTGGGTCCAGGGAGGGATTCGAGGTTCAGGGCCGGGACCGGAGAGTTACGATGGTGTGATGGCTGCGATGTGTAGCTGCCGGGCAGCCACGTGCACCTCGCTTCTTCCCCAAATCAGGGCGGGTCTCGCGCCTCGTCCCCACCACCGCCTCTCTCCCCGGCTTGGATCCCTCTCCCACCTGCATACCTGTGGATCTCTCCGGACCATTCTGCCTAGGCTCGGCCCAGGAAGCCACCTGATTTTCTAAACTGGTTGTGGGAACTAATGTGATATCTAGAAACTTCAAGAAACCAACCTTATAATGGGGGATTAAACATTTTACACTTTAAATGGATCAGCTTAATCACTCAGGTTTGACTGAGCAGTGTCTCAGAGATTTAAGTGGTGACCTGATCAGTCAGAATAGGCTAGTGTTTGAGCCTTGGGACAGTGATGACTTTTACAGTGTGGCAGCATTTGAAGCCTGTCCTGTTTTTAACACCTATTTTGGATGGAAAGCTCATCACAGCAGCCAGGGATGTATACCTTAACTCGCCTGTTGCACTTTTCTGTCTCGAAATTGGAAACATACAGGAGCACCGTTGCTTGCACACAGCTTCTTGGTAATTGGATATCCATAAATTAATTCCTTATGTCCCGACAGACAATTCATTTCCTTCCAGGATAACACCAGGGTAAACAAATCAAGGGATATTCAATTATACTATATTTCCTTGAAAATAAAATGGTGAAAGGAATAGGACATAAAATATACAGTATTGCTAATTTGCAAAAGATAAAATGCAAGCAAGAGTTTTCCATTAAAAGTATTCTATTCAGTCCCCTTCCTGTACTGTACATTTGAATGCAGAAATGAAAAACTTGAGTAGTCAGATTTCTCTTTGCCTGAGATAGGTAAGTTAACGTAAGAGTTTTGTTGCCTGTGTTTTTATGTTCCAGTGAAACTCGTGAAGAAATAACAACTTTCATGATCTTATTTCATTCCTAAAAACCTGGGTGTTCATCTTCATGGAAGTAAGACCTTGTTTGTATTACACATTCCAATAGGTTTCATTTCTCATTCCTGAATGTGGGATACTGTCGGAAGAACTGAAAAATCTGGTCATGCAAACTGGACCCTATTACTTTGTGAAGAATTTACCTCTTTATGAATTAATTACACCCGAATTCATCAGTACCTTTATAAAGAAAGGTAAGAAAAACCTGAAATGGCTTTAAACAAGGCAAGATGAGGGGCTGTTATTTTGTTTTGAACAGGGCCTGTGGGATAGTCTGTGTGGTCAGGTGCACACATGCACTACCCCCGCCCCCCGTTCTCATCCTGTTCTTTCTTGTGCCCTCTTTAGGTGGTGGTTTCTGACTGCAATTGCCCACAAGTGTTGGATGGGGACGTTGTAACATGAGGGTATCCGTCCCCTTGAAATGAGGATTGATGGAGAGGAGAGACTTGCAGTCTGTGTTCAGACGCACTGCTCTGGAGGAAGTGGCTGCAGAGACCCTGCGCTGTGAGCAGCCCCACAGCAGCTGCCTCACAGGGTTGGTCTCCAGATGCAGCCACAGCTACTGTTCACAGAGCAGAGTGCTCGTTGCAGTCCAGTGTCCTCTGCTTAGATTTTGTAGCCATAACCCCTCTCTGCGCACCCCATTTCCACCCACGTCTGCTGGGTTGGACTGGTTTGTTTCATTTGTTTCCTGAGAGCCGTTTGTTTGAAACTATTTCAGAGGGTATTTAGGGACTCCACCCACAGTACGTGAGTCACCTGTACAGTGGCCACATGCTTATCTTGTGGTGGTCCCCACATGTGTCCTCTCCAGTGAAGATATGAAGAATACTAGTTACCAGTAGCTCCTCTCATTCTGACACTGCTGGGGCTACTTATGAGCTGGGCATCTTGTCTGGTCTCATCACCATTATCCCTTTCATCTATTTTGAGGTCTGACACCACTCTGTCAATTACATGGACACTGGCTGTAGCAGGCACTGTTAACTATCTTACCAAATTTAACCCTTGCAACAGTGTTATGAAGCAGGCCTGTGATCCTCATTTAACAGGTGAGGAAGCTGAGGCTTGGAGAGGTTGAGTAGCTTTTGAATCTTAACCCGGAACTCTGCCTCTAAGATGTGTATGTTTATCTAGAATTCTACTTTGTACCCCTCTCCATGCATCCCCAAAGGTCACATTCCATTCTGAGTCAATTTTTTGCTTGATGATAGTAAACTTGCACAAATAGGCCCTTGGTCGGGGAGTGAACTAGCTGGAGCTTGGTCTTCTGCATGCTCCAGCTTACCTTTAGCAGATGTTTGGTTTATTGAATGAACTGGAGCAGTGGTAGAAACTGACCTTTAATTACCTGGAAGACAGGTTATCTTGTGAAAATAATCCACTAACATCTTGCAGGTGTAATTTCTTCTTTTAAATTTGTCCTCTGGACTTTCTCTTACAGGTTCTTGCTATGCACTAACATACAATACAAATATTGATGAAGATAATACAGTTGCCCTGCTACCAAATGGTAATGCTTATTTTTTCATCTTTCTTTAATTGTTAAAAAAAATGCAAAAAAAAAATTAAAAAAAAAATGCATACTGTAAAAAAAAAAAAAAAAAAAAAAAAAGGCCGGGCACGGTGGCTCACGCCTATAATCCCTGCACTTTGGGAGGCCAAAGCAGGTGGATCACCTGAGGTCAGGAGTTCAAGACCTGCCTGGCCAACATGGTGAAACCCTGCCTCTACTAAAAATACAAAAATGAGCCAGCGTGGTGGCGCACGCCTGTAGTCCCAGCTTGGGAGGCTGAGGCAGGATAATCACTTGAACTTGGGAGGCGGAGGGTGCAGTGAGCCAAGATCATGCCACTGCACTCCAGCCTGGGTGACAGAGTGAGACTCTGTCTAAAAAAAAAAAAAGAAGATATTCAAAAGAATGAGACCATGACTTGTTTATTTCATCTTTAGTAGAAATTCAGATTATTTCTAATTTCATTATTATGAATAATATCCTTGGATGTATAATGTATAAATGATATCTGTGTTATAAGACATGTATACATATAAATATTCTTGTGATATAAATAAGATCCTTGTATGCAGTTTGGTACATCAATATCTAACTGCTCAATTTGCTTTGCTTTCTTTTAGTCAGACAACATAAGTTCTATTTTTGGCATCTCTTATGGGAGTTATTATCTGATTTGTAGGGAAATTAATTTTGTCACTGGATAAAGACACTTATGAAGAAACTGGACTTCAGGGTCATCCATCTCAGTTTTCTGGCAGAAAGATTATGAAATTTAGTAAGTATCATGTGTGCTCCATCTGTGTCTTAAGAAGTCTGTAATCTTCTTGTGGCAATTTAAATTTAAATGTTTGAATTGCCTCTAATCTCTTTGTTCAGAAAAATGTGGCTTTTTAAAAAAATCTACCAAACTTCTGACTTGAGCTTCATAGAGGATAGGATGATGCTTTTAAGTTCATTTCTTTTCAGCTGTAGATGCGTTTGATAAAGATCGTAGACTTGGACTGGTCAATTAAATATATATGTTTTGGGTTAAACATTCAAAGTAATTTGGGAAGCCTAGGCAGGCGGATCATGAGGGCAAGAGATTGAGACCATCCTGGCCAACATGGCGAAACCCTGTCTCTGCTAAAAATACAAAAATTAGCCGAGCATGGTGGCGGGCGCCTGTACTCCCAGCTACTCGGGAGGCTGAGGCAGGAGAATCGCTTGAACCCAGGAGGAGGAGGTTGCAGTGAGCCAAGATCACAATCACTGCACTTCAGCCTAGTGACAGAGTGAGACTCCATCTCAAAAAAAAAAAAAAATTCAAAGTACTGAACCCAAGATAGGAGTCTACTTATTATAATGAAGAATTTCCTTTGGCTTCCCCAGGTCTTTATGATTACTAGTAGAAATTCACCCACGAGTGAAGAGATCTTTTGCTGACAGTGTCTGGCTCGAACATCAATAGCTAAGGCTGCCACATCCATTAGCAGATTAAACCTGACCTCTCAAGGTCCTCTGCCCTTGGTCTTTGACCTAGGAAATATATAAATTTAAAATGTCTGTTTCTGTTAGCTCTCAAGGTTAGAAGTGCCCACCAAAGGGATCTTTTTTATTTGGCAAACCAAAGGGAGTGGAAGAAGAATAAAATAATTTTACTATCCATAAAATTTCCCAAAATTCTGGTTTTTAAAAATACAACACTTTTTCCATAGTATAAGCTGTATGTCTATGAATGAAATATATATTCTTTTTTTCATTTTTAAAGTTGTTTCCATTGATTTGATGGAATTATCCTTAAACTTGGATTCTAAGAAGTATGAAAGAATATCTTGGTCCTTCAAAGAAAAGAAACCATTGAAATTTGATTTTCTTTTGGCTTGGCATAATACAGGTATGAAGAAACAATTATGTAATGATACAGTGATTTTTGAAATTAATTGTTAATTAAAGAGGAGTAATGGAGGGTTGAATGGTGATTCACTCTTATAGTCAAGGAATAGTGTATATATATATAAAAATAGTATTAAGGAAAGTAACCCTTCTGACATCTCTGAAAACCATTGTCCAGGATTGTCTAGGCATGCAGGCCTTTCTGCCTGAGTCTTTTTGGGTTATACATAAATCCAGAGATCTTGAGAGTGGCTTTAGAGCAGCTAAATTTTATCTATTTCTCCCCTTTCCTCTCTCCGGCTTACCTCGAACAGTCTTGACTATAATATTTTTATAGTTATATACACAATCTGCTTATTTATTACCACAAGGCAGTAACTCAGACCTACTGTTAAATGTCAGATTAATTTGTAATAACTTTTAATTGATTAGGACACTAAATTTAGTTCGAAGTTTGCTATTCACCACAC